GCGCCTGCACGGGCGATGGGGACTACAGGCAGCACCTGAACCCTTCCAGCAGGATCCCACCACCCGCGTGGAGCAGTGAGCACGGCACAGCACGGCTGGCCACGCTGCACGAAGGAAGGGCGTGGGCTGGGTGGAATGGGGAACCAGCCAGGTGGGTCCATGGGGACTGAGCTGTCCCTGGGGCTGGAGGGACTCCGCCCCAAGAGACTACAGCTCCCAGTCTCGTTACAAACCCCCAGGACACTTTTTGGGGTGTTTTTCACTCTCCTGTGCCCCATCCCAGGGGGGAGACATCCCCACGGCGCCGGATCCTGCAGCGCCCACAGCCATTGTGACCTTGCCACACTGGGGTAAGTGTCTCCTGCCTTTCCAGCACAGGAAGAACTGGGCTGTAACAGGACAAACGCAGTGCCCAGCTCCAAAACCTCTTGCCATGGTGTAGCCGTGATTTCTAACTGCTGGTATTTTCCGGTGACGTCCCGTGATGGCAGGGGAGGAGTGTGCATTAGCCGTCCTCTTCCAAGCGCTGCAAGGCCTCACACTTAAAGACTTTCAGGAGTTTAAGACAAAGTTATTGGAGGTTCACGTGGAAGGAGGATGGAATATCCCCAAGGATTCGCTGACAGAAGTCACCCACCCTTGGGCGCTTGTCAGCTGCATGGGAGAAAACTACAGCGAAGACGCCGCAATGGACATAGCGATTGGGTTGTTTGAAGAGATGAACCAGAGAGACCTCGCGGAGAAACTCCTGGATGAGAAGGTGAGAGGTAGGGAGCCAGCATACATTTTGCTTTTCTTTGTCTCGTTTTCCCTTGAGTGATCGTGGAGACTGGTACAAGTTTGTAAGAGCAGCCTGGAAACACAAAAATGTCCCGCTGTGATCCTGTTAGTGTGGGGACTGTAGTGACCTCTTCTCTTGCTGTCCCCACTTGCTGTCAAGCTCCCTCTTCTCCTGGAGAGAGTCTTCAGCAGTCAGCACTGCCTGGCAGGCAGCTGGGCACATCCTTTCCTCCTAGGATGGGAACCAAGGACCTCTCTGCATAGCTCACATTTGGCCTTCTCGGGAGCCTAGGGATGGTGCCTTTGGCCTGAGGAGCATGAGCAGAGGAGGATGGAAGCTGCAGGTGGCCCCAGGAAATTGCATTTGCTCCCAGGGTGGATGAGGATTACAGCGTGGTTAAAACAGGGGTTGATGGATCAGGATGATGGGGGGAGACCCAGAAGAGGAGAAGGACTCCCCCAGCTGACCAGAGGCCCTAAATTCTCAGACAATGTCTTTATTGGCTCTGCCAGACTTAGGAAAGCCCTGAGCGTTGAGGCAAGTGTCTCGTTGGTGTGTCAGGAGAATGATTGGGCTGGTTAGGAGCTCCTCAGGAATCTGGCTGTGCTTGGGACTGACTCTGCTTCTCGCTGGCACAGAGTACAAGCGAAAATACAGAGAGCACGTGGTCCAGCAGTTCCTCCGGTACAAAGAAGAAAACTCCTATTTCAGGGAGAACCTGTCTGTCAGCAGCCGCTACACCGACCTGACCATCACCAGGAAGTCTGGGAGCACATGCGGAGACGAGGATGAAGCTGTGGGCGCCAGCTTTGGATGTGCTGACGCCAGCAATGGACCAGCCACCATCACCATCACCACACAGGCGCTGTTTAAATCCAATGAAGACAGGCAAACATCACAGGTCGTGGTGCTGGTGGGGGCCCCAGGGATGGGGAAGACGATGACAGTCAGGAAGGTGATGGTGGAGTGGGTGGAAGGGACCTTCTACTCACAGTTTGACTACGTCTTCTGCATAGACTGTAAAGACATTGCCTTTACCAAGGAAATGAGTGTGGCAGACCTCATTTCAATGTGCTGCCCTCACAGGCAAACACCAGCTGGGAAGATCCTGGATGACCAGAAGAAGATCCTGTTCATTTTTGATGGCTTCAAGGCCCTGGGATTTTCCTTGGTTCAGCCTGAAGATGAGCTGAGTTCTGACCCCGAGAAAGTGAAACCACTGGAAACCACCCTGATGAGCTTGTTGAAGAAGACTGTTCTCCCTGAGTCATCCTTGCTCATCACGACGAGACCAACAGCTCTTCAGAGTCTGGGACAGTGCCTGGAGGGTGAGTATTATGCGGAAATACTGGGCTTTTCAGCAGCCATGAGGGAAGAATATTTCCACAGGTATTTTGAGAATGACAATAAAGCCGACATGGCCTTCAGGTTTGCCAGAGGTAACAAGATCCTCTACAGCTTGTGTGTCATCCCCATCATGAGCTGGACTGTCTGCATCATCCTTGAACAAGAGCTTTACAAGAAGAAAATCCTCGTTGAGTGCTCTAAAGCCACCGCATGGATGAGCCTGTTTTACCTCTCCTGGTTAATGAAGTGCAGAGGCAGGGACAACCCACGGTATCTCCAGCAGCTCCTGCGCAAGATTTGCTCGTTGGCTGCTGATGGCATCTGGAAGCACAAGATCCTCTTTGAGGAGAAGGAAATCAAGGGCTGCAGCTTGGACCAGCCAGACCTTCTCCCTCTCTTCCTCAACGAGAAGATCTCAAGGAAAGACACAGACCATGGGAACGTCTACAGCTTCACCCACCTGCATCTCCAGGAGTTTTTTACGGCAATGTTTTATGTCCTGGAGGACAATGAGGAAATTGTCGGCAACTCAGGGGCTCTTGTGAAGGATGTAAGTATGTTTTTACAAAGCTACAGCGAGTCCAGGAAGGATTTGAACTTAACAGTGCAGTTCCTGTTTGGTCTGGTAAGCCAGAAATCGATAGAGCACACGGACAAAATCATCGGGTGCAGAATTTCACCACGAGCCAGGGAACACATGCTGAGGTGGCTTCAGAGGAGGCAGAGAGGCATCACCCATCCCGGCCAAGCGCTGAAGGTTACAGACATGGACACTTTCCACTTTTTGTTTGAGATGAATGAGAAAAGCTTTGTGCAAAATGTGTTGGGTCGTTTCACCGACATAGACTTGCAGGACATCAAGTTGACCCTGTACGACCAAATGGCTCTTTCCTTCTGCATCAGGCAGTGGAACGGACTGAGTTGCGTCACCCTCCGGGGTTGCTCCTTCAACCAGCAGAATCCCAGGGGAGAGCAGGCCACATCGTTGCCCTGGTAAGTACTGCCCCTCTCTCTGCTCTAGCCACCCCAAATTGCAAAGATTTCTCCTTCTCCACCCCAAGGTATGCTTTTAAAAGCATTTCAGCTCCTTCCACCCAAACACCAGCTTGCCCTCTCACTGTGGCTCAGTTCCTCAGTGGAGAATTTTACTTACTCTTGGGGAGAATTTGTGGCAGAAAAAGGATCACATGGGCTCTTCCATCCCCTGCATGTGGTGGGATTGATGGAAATGGAGCATCACAGCTCAATTTCTGCAATCTGAACAGGCCCACCTGTGCCTGGGTGTTGGTGTGGCTTCATATCCCCCTTTTTGGGTGCAAAGAGGGGACACCTGGAGCTGAAATTTTAAGCACACCTGGAGCTTTGCTTGAGAGCAGGATGGCTCCAGCAGTAATGCTCCTGAATCTTTGCATCTCCAAAGCCATGGAGGTCCCACGCAAGGAGAACTTCCAGGAGCTGGTGGCAAGCTCTGCTTGAGGGGCTTTGTGTGCCAGCATGGAAGCTGGGTGTTCCTGGTGCAGGTGAGGGCTGCCCATGCTCCCCGCTGCTCTGTCTCCTTGCAGCTCCGGTGCCTCGGGAGCTGGAGGACGTCCCCATCCCCTTGCTGAGCTGCAGCAGGAGAAGCTGCACTCCCCCATCCGCCCGCTCTGCCGGGCGCTGCAACACCCAGGCAGCGACCTGCAGGTGCTCCGGTAAGAGACTGAGCCTCGGCGCTGAGCAGAAACCGCAGCCACGGTGCTGCTGCCTGCACCGGGCAGGTGTGCGGCTGGAGCCCGGCCACTGCGGCTGGCTCCGGGGTGCAGGATGGGGAACCTGAACCGGAGAGGAGTAGATGGAGAAAGAAGAGAAGCTCAATATGAGCCGGCAATGTGCTCTTGCAGCCCAGAAGGCCAACCGTGTCCTGGGCTGTATCAAGAGGAGCGTGGCCAGCAGGTCGAGGGAGGTGATTCTCCCCCTCTACTCTGCCCTCGTGAGACCTCACTTGGAGTATTGCGTCCAGTTCTGGAGTCCCCAACATAAGAAGGACATGGACCAGTTGGAGAGGGTCCAGAGGAGGGCCACGAGGATGATAAGAGGGCTGGAGCACCTTTCCTATGAGGACAGGCAGAAAGAGTTGGGGCTGTTCAGCCTGGCGAAGAGGAGGCTCCGGGGTGACCTTATAGCGGTCTTCCAGTACCTCAAGGGGGCCTACAAGAAAGATGGGGAGAGG